CCCCTTATATATATATATATATATATATATATATATACTGTATAGTTGTTGTTCATAATATTTATTTATTTATTTATCTGTATGAGATTGTAAGGCTTTTTTGCCACTGTTGCCCTGAGCAATTAATTGATGCATATCATATACCAATGCAGGTTTACAGTCAAATCTGTACTATACATTATTGTAAAAAATTGTGGAAAAAAAAATCCAAAATCTATCTCGATAGATCGTGTCTTTTGCTGTGTTTAGCTGTAATGAATGGAATTTCCTTTGTACTCCCTTAAGAGGCATCATTTAACTCTACATTTGTGTGTACCATCTAGTGTCTATGTGCTTGTGCGTGTTTGTGCAGAGGATTTAACTGTGGTGATTATATAATTGAGAGCACTTCCTGTGTAATGCTGAGGGGTCTCCTGACTGTGTATTTGCATGAACATGTGACCTCAGCAACATATGAACTTTCTGAAGTCGTATGAAAAATGAAAGCAGGTGTTTTTTCCTAACTATTAATGTAACTTAACCCAATGCTTTAAGTGTCAGCACTGTGGCTTGTAAATCATTTCAATAAAATCAATTCAGTGCTGTTGATTATTCTTTATTTTGTCCCACTGACCTCCATTCATTGTCTCTAACCCTAATATGCTTAAAGGGATAGTTCACCCAAAAATGAAAATTTGATGTTTATCTGCTTACCCCCAGGGCATCCAAGATGTAGGTGACTTTGTTTCTTCAGTAGAACACAAACAAAGATTTTTAACTCGAACCGTTGCAGTCTGTCAGTCATATAATGGCAGTCAATGGACTCCATGGCTTTGAGAGTAAAAAAAACATACAGACAAAAACAATTTAAACCCTGCGGCTCGTGACGATACATTGATGTATAAAGACAAGAAACGATCAGTCTGTGCAAGAAACTGAACAGTATTTATATAATTTTTTACCTTTGATCCACCGCAATGTCAGCGCATTCACAACATCCGGCGCGTGACGCGTGTAGCGTGTACGTGCTCTTGCATAGTAGACATAGATATATACATAAGTAGATTCCCGTTGCCCATAGAAACAGTAACTAATGAGGCATCTACTTATATATATCTATGTCTACTATGCCAGAGCACGTACACGCATCACGTGCCGGATGTTGTGAATGTGCTCAGACATTGCAGACCGTTCGTTTCGTGTCTTTACTCCTCAATGTATCGTCACGAACCGCAGGGTTTAATTTTGTTTTGTTTGTGTATGTTTTTTTTTTACTCTCGAATCCGTGGAGCCCATTGACTGCCATTATATGACTGACAGACTGCTACGGTTAGAGTTAGAGTTAAAAATCTTCGTTTGTGTTCCACTGAAGAAACAAAGTCACCTACATCTTGGATGCCCTGGGGGTAAGCAGATAAACATCACATTTTCATTTTTGGGTGAACTATCCCTTTAATCATTGCACGTGTGATGTGTGTTGTATGTAGGAAATCCTGCCCCTGAGGTGGTCTGGCTGCATAATGGAAAAGAGATACAAGAGTCTGAGGATTTTCATTTTGAGAGGAAGGGCTGTCAGTATACTCTCTTCATACAGGAAGTGTTTCCTGAGGACACAGGGACTTACACCTGTGAGGTGTGCAATGAAGTCGGAGTCGCTCGCACCGAAGCCTCACTCACGGTACAAGGTACAAATCACACTGAAACATTGCTTAAGTGAATACATTACCAAAGTAGGTATGATTTTCAACTAGATACTAATGTGATCTTATAACAAATATGATGATATAATCGCTGAATATGGATGTGAATCTCCAGTGGATTTTTGTTTGTTGCTCACAGAGCCTCAAGATGGAGTTCAGCCCTGGTTCATCACTAAAACCAAGTCCACTGCCGCCTCCCTGGGTCAACACGCTCTGCTGTCCTGTGCGATCGCTGGTGACCCCTTCCCAGAATTCCTCTGGATGAAGGATGGGCAGGTCATATCTGGAGGTGGGGACTTTGAGATCCTACAGAAGGAAGACGTTGTCTCATTGCTCATCAGGAAAGTGAAGACACATCATGCTGGAAACTATGAGATTCATCTCAAGTAAGAATTGTTTAAAAAAAAAAAATCTAAGCTATTGCTCATGTAGTTTAAATTTATTATATGTATAGTTAGATATTTGTTATTTGGAAATGTTGACTCACTTTGAGATCTTACAGTTTTTTTTAACTGCTTACACACTAAATCTTTACTTGTCACACAATTTCTGAAAGCTGACACTCAAACACCAGAAGCACACACCAAATCTGCAAAACCATACACTAATTCTCGGCCTGTGACTCAGTTTTCAATTTCATAAAACACTTTCTGAAAAACGCAACACACACAATTCTCTATGTAACACACAAAAATCTAACAGGAATTAGGTGTTTGCAAATGTTTGCTTTTGAGATGTGTTTGTAATATTTTGAATGCAGTGCTTCATTTTGAAAGAGATGTGAGGCATTTTGCATTTTGTGTGTGCAATTCTTGTATTTGTGTGTGAAGCTTTGAAAAAAAAAGAGGCAAAGTTTTGAAAATGTGTGTAAGCAGTTGAAAAAAAACTGTAACACATAGTTATTTGTACTCAAAAGTGACATGGTTTATTTTACTTTAAAATAATAAAGTTTAAAAAGGTTTTTAAAATTATTCTTTATGATTTGGATTTTATTTAGTTGATTCTATGTAAAGATGTGAAATGTTTGACACTTAGCCCCAAAATCAAACTGTATCAAATCAACTCTACCCCAAATAAAAACTTTATTTATTTGTTTGTTTGTTTATATTCTTATATGTTTTACATTGTGACATTATTTTTATGACCACTTCTTTTCTTCTTCAAATTTAATGACCATGCAAAAATAATGATATAGTATAACAATAAAAATAGAAAAATTATTTTAAATACAACTATTTTAATTATGAAGTATTGCTACATCATGTTAGTATTTGTTGAAATGCTTTAAATTTATTCAGATTTTAATAATAAGACATTGCATCTGTAAAGATACTGTAAGAAATGAGAATTAGATAAAGATCATCTATAATGAGAAATGCACATTACACATAGAGAGAGAAAAAACTATCTGTGTTATGCAAAATATCTTTTTTTTTTTTTTTTTTTTTGGATAAAATTCATGAGATCCATGCTTTTAAGTTCACATGCAATGAAATTATGCTTGGAAACAGTGCTGTCATATCAGGAAAGGTTGTGTTTTCTTAGTTCCTCATTTACTTTACAATTCAACAGTTTACAATAAATGAACATTATCGGTGAAAAATCTTCTGTTGATCTCAGGAATAAAGTAGGAGAGTGCAGGTCAGTGGCAGCTCTGCAGGTCAGCGAGGACCCCATGCCATCTGGTGACGATTCTCATAAACGGTACATTCTCCTTCTACTCTTGCTCTCTCTCCTCTGCCCCAAAGCTATATTTACAGCCCTCAAGCCCTGCACTTAATCTACATAATCTCTCTTTATAACCAAACGCTCTGTTTATGCTTCCTCTCAGCTGTGCTGTTGTGTGGGTTCGTCTAGGGGCCTCACTCGGGTCTCATTTCCCTATAAGGTCTCTGAAGTCATCTCTGATGCAACTCTGTGGTGTTGAACTAACTCTCCTGCTCGATTAAGCTGCTCTCCAGTGTGGGCTGAGCTAGCCGGGGCTTTGACCATCTCTGTGTTTTTTCTCCACTCTTCCTGTGGCAGCCGAGGGGTGGAGAGGACTGCGGCAGGCAGGGGAGGACAGCCGGAGACTCCCAGCGCTGCAGCGTCGCACTCCGAGCAACTCTGGGAACACGACAGTCAGGATCAGGAAGAAGAGGAGGGCAGTGCCACCCGTGGGCTTCTCAAAAGGTGCGTGGAGACAAAGGAGCATCGGGAAGACCAGATCCGTCAGCAGGAGGCCGAACAGATCGACTTCAGAACCGTGCTCGGCCGCAAGGTCACCACTAAGAGCGTCTCTGAGGAAGACCTGAAGGAGATCACGGCCGAGCAGATGGACTTCAGGGGGAACCTCCAACGGCAGATCAAGCCCAAGACCCAGACAGAAGAGGAACGCAAAGTCAACTCTCCACAGCAGGTGGACTTCAGAGCAGTGCTGGGAAAGAAGGGAAGCCAAGGCCCAAAACCCGGTCTCGGATCCTTAGTGAAAGCACAAGCCAACAAAACTGAAGCTGTTGACTTCAGATCCGTGTTAGGCAGCAAGAAAAAACAACCAAGCCAGGACAGGAATGGAGAAAGCCAAGGCGATAAAGACGCCCGAGGAAAGGAAAACGATGTGAATTGTGTGGATGGAGGGATAAAAGAAAAAACAAAAGAGCCCGTTTTTACGCAGAAACTGAGTGACGTGACGGTATTGGATGGGGAACGTTTGCATCTGCAATGCCAACTTTCCTCTGAGTCTCCTGCTAAAGTGACATGGACGCTTGATGGAAAACTCATCAAACCATCCAAATTCATCGTCATTGCTAACGAGGGTCAGTGTTGCATTTCACATTTGATATTACGTACAGTAAGAGGACAAATTTGTTGTCATCTATCGTGGATGAAGTTTGGCATTGGGACGTTTATCAGCCCTGTTGAAAAATCCAGCATATGCTGGCTAGGAATGTTTTGAAGCATGACTGCTGGTTTGAGCTGGTTTAAGTTGGTCCTTAGCTGGTCCTAAGCTGGTCCTGAGCAGGAGCTAGTTTCTTAGGACCAGCTTCAAAACGTACCTAACCAGCATATGCTAATTTTTTCAACAGGGAGGGGCTCGAATAGTTTATATGCTTGTGTATGTGATTCAAACATCAGCAGACCATTGGTAATCAGAGTGTGATATTCATTTTATACAACAGCTCTCTAAACAAGAAGTTAATATTGAGTACCTGGCGTTTCAAACTTTTGATCGGTAATTAAAATAGCTCCAAATGAAGCCAACGCTGGACTAACTTTGCTGCGGAGAAACATAGCGGTTGGCTGCCAACAAACACTCCTTGAATGCCACTTGTCCAATCAGACACGAGGACCAGAACTAACTGTACATAATTGTCTTTAAACAGTGGTCGCATGACAATAAAATGGCAGGAGTGTAATTGGATGAGTGTTTATTCAAGGTGTTTCATAATGCGATAGGGCTATCAGTAATAATGTTTGAGATATCTGAAGAGAAAAGTCATTTGTAGGTGTAGACTGAGGGCTGTGCTTTGGACCCCTTTACCATTACTAACCCTGTGTGTTTGACAAAAACTTCATCTGACTCAAGTATATCAGTGTTGTGACCAAGAGAAGTTGACATGTGTACTTGAAAAATATGCATGTATGGATTATTGCAATATTAAAGGGATATTCTGCTTTGGGAACTACAAACAGCATCTTTAATTTGCCCCATAGACGTCTTTGACCTCATGCAGCAGATACTTTCAAAACAGGTTAACTTTGTCTTAGATGAAGGGACTACTTTAACTGTATAAGAATAACCATTAAATGTGTGTGTATGTGTGTGTGTGAGCAGGTGGTAAGTGCTCTCTGAGCATTGATAAAGCTCTGCCTGAGGATGAAGGACAGTATGTTTGCAGGGCGGAGACTAACGAGGGCAAGACAGAGTGTTCCTGTATGGTCCTAGTGGATGGTGAGTGTATCTCATTACATACCAGCACAATAAATTAGTTTAAAGCATGCTCTTCCTGTATCCACTCTATGAAACTCTATAGAGGGATGAGGTGTACTGTAACCCTATGTGTCAAAAGTGTCAAAAATGTAGTTATTTTCATTTTTTTACACAAACAATTTTACATTTTGCATTCAAAACCTTGGGGTCTATGAGAGTATTATGGTTTCAGTCTGTTTTGGGCTGGGCAGTGTGTTTGTCCATTTCCCCTGAGTCCTTGTCTGAGCTCTGCATCTTCCGGTAATTACTGACCAGATCAGCCTGCATAACGTCCCTTGCATGTCCTAAGATCTCCCTTTTTCACTTTGCAGAATATGTCTTTATATATCTCTCTCTAAATATATATATATGTCTCTAAATATCTTTGTCCCACTAAACAGACACTCATCTCTGGATCTCTCTTGATCTTAACAGGCCATGTCCCTATGAGCATCTCTAGATTTCTGTGTCTCTCTTGTTGGATGTGTCTCTACAGTTGTCTCTTTCTCTCTGTTCTGGTTTTCAGGACATGTCTTTACAACTGTTTTGAGTCTCTTTGTTCCAATTTAGAAGATGTGTTGAGCTGTCTTTGGATCTGTTTATCCAACTTAACAAGACATGTCCCAACAGAGAGGCTTGATTTAGAGAACCGTCTCTAGGTCCATTTGTCCAGGATAACATATTCTGACAGTCATCTCACTTTCTGTTCTGCTATATGGGACATGTCCTAACAATCATCTTTAGATATGTCTGTCTCAACTATAGGACATGTCCCTTCAGCTCTTTGTCTACAGTCACCTCTGTCCTACTTAACATGAGATGTTCAACATGTTACATGTAACACATGTCCAGTTTATCCATCCATTTCAGATCTTTTTGTCCTGTTTATGACAGCCAATTACCTGATCTTAGTCTATCCCTGTGTTTGTCTCTAGATTCCTCCATCTCTTTCTCTCTCTTCTGGTTCCCAGGACTTGTCTTTACATCTGTTTAGAGATCTCCTGTCGAGATTTCGCACTGGACATGTCCCTACAGTTTTGTCTAGATATCTATGTTCTGCTTAACAGGCCATGTCCCTGCAACCATCACTAGTTCTCTGTGTCCTGCTTTATAATACATGTCCCTACAGTCATCTATCAGTCTCTAATTTTAAAAGACATGTCTTTACAGATGTCTCTAGACATATCTGCCCGGCTTAACAGTGACAAAAGAAAGACACCTTGACCTGGAGATATCATTATTTTTAATGGCAGCATGCTGATTTTATTTAATTGCTTTAACATTGTAGGTTACTTGCATAAACGGCTTATACAGCTTCTCCTAATTTGGAGTCTGCAATTTCAATTGCCAAATTCCACTTTTTAACCTCCGGTTTGACTTTTTGGCCTTAGTTTTGGTCTTAGCAAAAAGTGACAATAATAAAATGGCGATGGACCCTCAAAAGAATTACTTGATGTAATCAGTTTGGGAATTTTTTTTTCGGTTTGTTCGAAGTTGAAGAGGATGCATATACACTGATTTCATGGTGGTCACATGAACTTGATTCTAATTTTGTTCTCTGTGTTACTCTCTGTATTCTGTCTGTCTGTGTTCAGATCCCAGTGTCTCCACACCAGCTGATAAGCAGAGCAGGAAGCCCTCTACCCCGACCACAGAGAGTGAGTTTCCAAAATATGTACTTCCTTTTTTATATCCCAATATGGAGTGGCGTGGGAGATGTGAACCTTTCCCACTGCAGCACACACACACACACACACACACACACACACACACACACACACTCACTGCTCTGTTGCTTGTAGCGTTTATAGACAATATCACTAGGGATATATCACTGAGAATAATTGCTTTATAAATGACTTTGTTCGGTCCACAAGTTAAATAATTCTTATCTACAAAGTTGCTCAGTTGTTTGACAATTATGTTTAGCGGTTTTTTAATTCTCGGCTTTTGACTCAGTTTTCAATTCATAAAACACTTTTTGAAAACACAACACACAATTCTCTATGTAACACGCAAAAATCTAACAGGAATTAATATTACGGCAAAGGTGTTTGCAAATGTTTGCTTTTGAGATGTGTTTGTGATATTTTGAATGCAGCGCTTCATTTTGCAAGAGATGTGAGGCATTCTGCATTTTGTGTGTGCAATTCTTGGATTTGTGTGTAAAGTTTTGAAAATGTGTGTAAGCAGTTGAAAAGAAAAACTGTAATAACTAGAGTTAAAAGTTTGAAAGACAAATGTATGCTGCACACACACACACACACACACACACACACACACTCACTGCTCTGTTGCTTGTAGCGTTTATAGACAATATCACTAGGGATATATCACTGAGAATAATTGCTTTATAAATGACTTTGTTCGGTCCACAAGTTAAATAATTCTTATCTACAAAGTTGCTCAGTTGTTTGACAATTATGTTTAGCGGTTTTTTAATTCTCGGCTTTTGACTCAGTTTTCAATTCATAAAACACTTTTTGAAAACACAACACACAATTCTCTATGTAACACGCAAAAATCTAACAGGAATTAATATTACGGCAACGGTGTTTGCAAATGTTTGCTTTTGAGATGTGTTTGTGATATTTTGAATGCAGCGCTTCATTTTGCAAGAGATGTGAGGCATTGTGCATTTTGTGTGTGCAATTCTTGGATTTGTGTGTGAAGCTTTGAAAAAAGAGGCAAAGTTTTGAAAATGTGTGTAAGCAGTTGAAAAACTGTAAAAACACAAACAAACAAAGACATCCGTCTGCCTGTTGCCTAGTTCATAATTATCTGCAGATTGAGGGAAAGATGAAAACTGTAATGAACAAAATAACATTTCAGACTGCACTATTATTGACAAAGTTTTAGTACTCACAATATTTTTGCATAGCCCAGAGGTTGTAGTATAGTATAGTATAGCATAGACTAGCATAGTATAAAGCAATCTCTGTAGGAGGTCCATCTTCACTGTTAAACCAGTTGTTCACGTCTCACACTCTTCATCAGAGGAGATGTTTGACAAGGCTGCTGGAGACTACTGCCAATGACTGATTTTACATTTTAAACAAATTTAACAAGCAAGAAGGAGGCAAGCGAAAATGAACAGTGAACAAAGGCTTGTTTTAGAGATATAAAGAGAGAATATTACAATGAGAGAAAGAGAGAGGTCATGACTGTTACTGCATGACTGCTTGGCAAAACCCGCTTTGGATTTCCATGTATGGGCTCAATCAAAACTCTCACTCCTTGAGTGTTGTTTGAGTTTTCTAACATCAGTGTTTTTAACATGCCTAACATTCTTCAGAATGTTTTGTAAAGGGTTCTGTATACTAGAGAGTCTACTTTTCGCCTACTCTCAGCAGGCTATGTTTAGCACTGTGTGTCTTGAACTTTATCTTCAGAAATGGCTGAAAATGAAACTGGAGAAACTGTTGATGTGTGCACTGATCTCTTAAGAGACGTGTTCCATATGTCTCAGGGATATTACTGATTGTTGCTTTGAGGAATGAACTGCAGTCAAATCTATCGTGATAATTTGTGAGCATTTATTTGGCTGACACGCTTGAGTGAGTGGTAATGCACCTGCTGACTGTCTAATGCTTCAACTCAGTTCCTTACAACATTTCATTTGGATTTATATTCTGCTGTAAGCATGCGTGGCTATGTAGACAGGACACAGGAACACAGATGATTAGCCCTAATTTGCCAGCTTCAATATTAATTTTAATGTCACAGGGTCAGTCTTTATGAGGTAGTGACTCGTGTTTGATACCTTGTTTTTAGAGAGGCATTTTACTTATTAATTTAGAAACTATGTATTTAAAATTAAAAAAAACTGTGCCAGAGTTATATGGGTATCTTGTGCTGAGAATAAACGAGCAAGCAATCAATGGCTGAGGCTGACAGTAGAAGGTTCCTAGTGATTTTGTAGCAAGGTTAGGCAGGTCCTCCACCATAGAGGTTACATTCAGTCATTGAGTTGTTTGCAGTCATGGAAAATCTGTGATTAAAAACCGTGAAGCTATGAAAATAAGCAGTGGTGTCGTGGATAATGGAAAACTCTAACCTCCAAGTACCTCTGAATCGCTGGTGGATATTGAACCCAATTGGTGTCCTTATTGTGTTATGTTCCTCTGTCATAATGGCTTATTTCTGTTCTCTATGTTATTAGTTGTGCTTGCAAGCGTCATTGTTACCATTCCACAGAAATTGGTCATTTGAAACCAACTCATCCCACTATGTATGTGCTACCATTGAATATGGAACCTGCATGTTCAAATCCTTTGGCATGCATCAAATTCAGTCAGAATGTATTTTTGTACATTTTTCCCTGTTTATCCTGTTGCTACAAATCTTCCAATCTTAAGTACACAACAAGTATATTTAAAGAACAGGACTTGCATATATATATATATATATATATATATATATATATA